ATCACGGACAAAACAATAGTTTTTGAGAAGAAGTGGGGCTCTGGCCCACACCGCACACAAAAAATAACTCTGGATGCCTTGCAGCTGACTGACTTTAGGAGGCAGAGAGACAATACAGGGGGCAGCGGAGGGCGGGGGTGGGGAGCGGCGGCAAGGCGTTGGCCTTGGATGCAGCCAACCCCGGTTCCATCCCCGGCATCCCTTAGGGTCCTCAGAGCCCACCGGGAGTCATCCCTGAGTCCAGAGCCAGGGGTGAGCCCCGAGCACCACTGGGTGTGATCCCAAAACGAAAAGAAGCTTTAAAGCTGTTGCAAGGAAACAAGTGGGGGGAAGAAGCTTCTGGACCTTCTGTGTGACTGTGACGGCCTGGGTGGAAGCCGAGTGCATGGGCGGCTAGGGAAGAGAGGCAGGGAAGCCAGGCGGTATCGCAAATGGTGACGCCTGTGAGTCTCAGCAGTCACATACAAGGGAGGGTCGAGGCGGCCACTTTGCAGGAGGACATCTCTGCAGTCCAGCTTCTGATAAGGGGGCCCCACCCGGAACACACACCGCACTCCTACCGACAGCAGAGAGGAACCCGCTTGAAAACGGGCCGAGGGGGGTGGCCTGCTTGCCTTGCATGCATCCGACCCGGGTTCGACCCGTGAGCGCCACCAGCAGTAATTCCTGAGTGCAGAGTCAGAGCAACACCTGAGCATTGCTAGGTATGACCCCCAAAAAGAAGGAAAAAAAACAAAAACAGTCAGAGGAGTGGGGCATATGTAAGCAGGAGGACCAAACGGCCAGTGTGCATGCGAGAAGATGCGTCCCCCACCCGATTGGCCACTTTGCACTCAGCAGGGGGCCCTTGGCAGAGCTCAAGGACAGAGACCAGTGAGTGCCATCGCGGGGATGGAGCATTGGCCGAGGGGAAGGGGGCATGCAGCGGCTGTGGGATACAGGCCAGAGCTTCCTCAGAAGTTTCCAGGCTGGACCCAGTGGTTCCAGTCCCAGCGGTGTGCCCCCTAGAAGCGCAGCCTTGCTGAGATCTCCATGGGTAGCGGGATCCTGGGGCCTGGGGCGCTTGTGGGTCAGCCCGGGAGGGAGCAGGACTCTGGGCCGAGGCGGGATGAGGGGAGGTGAAAGGGGTGAGCACTGGAGGGCGAGTGTTCTGTGATGCTGCGTCCCAAGGGGCCGCACCCACCCATAGCGGGATGGCAGCTAGTGGGCGGGCCGGGTGATCTCCCAGTCACGGTAGAGGCCAGGAGGGGGTCACACCCATCGTGTGGGTCAGCCTGACACTGGTGAAACGCACACTCGGAGAAAAGCTGCAAGTGGCCTGTTTCCTGTTAGGTCTGTTTCCCACAGTCAAGGAAGCACAGTAGGTCTTCAGCAGTGAAGCCCTGGAGAATGGTGCCCCTTCCCTGAGTGGTCACAGCCCCTAACCGCAGGACCTCGAAGTTCCCTCGACCCCGGATGCTCCTCTCTGAAAGGGAGGGACAGACTGACCGTGCAGACAGACTGACCATGGAGCCGGGCGGGCCCCCGCGGCCTCTCTCCAGCCCTCGGGCCCTTCCCCCGGCAGAGAGCATGTACCTGCAGGGACATTCTCGCAGAGGAGCGGGTGTTATGACCCGGGGCTCCTGAGGGCAGAGGGGCAAGAAGCCTGGGCTGCCGCTTCCCCTTCCAGATCGGAGCAGGAGGTTGGCGTGGAAGGCGCGTGGGTGGGCGCCATCCAGCCTAGCGCTCGTTGAACGTGACACAGAGACACCCCTTCCCTCCCCCCCCCCCCCCCCCCCCAGTTCTTGGTCCCGGGGGCTTCCCTGAAATGAACCATTTCCCGCTGCCCTTTCTCACTCTGTCACGTGCAAAAGTGCTCACGCTTCTTCTCGACTGGGGGCAGCTGCTCGGCTGTGCCGGCACACCACCTTCAGGCCCGCCTTGCTCAGAAAGCCGGGGAAGGAATTTCCCTCCGGGTTCTAGCTCACGAGCAGACACACGGGCTCCCACGGTGGGTGGGCTGTGGTGGCACCGTGCCATTGGGGTCAGCGCCCCCTGTGCACCCGCGCTGGGTAGCCTAAAGGCTTCTTCAGTGTCCACTGGCCGATGCCCCTTCGGTCATCTTGGGAGCGCGGGTTCTTGTGACAAGGATGAGGGCGGCCCAGCCCAGGACCAGGGAACCCAGGGTCAGAGGCAGGGAGAGGCTCGCTTGGGCCACACAGGGCAGGGCCGGCCTCTGGGCCCGGGTCCTGCGTCCCTCACACTCGGTCCCAGCCCCGTTTCCCTCTTGGGCGTCTTTCTCACCTAAAACCAGGGCGGGAACAGTCTCGCCTGCTTCCAGCCTGGCCGAGTCCCACCCTCACGGTTGAGCCGTGCTGATGCCTCACAGCCGGGCCGGTGGGTGCTGCTGGGACCCAGGCCCGAGCACCCGGCTCTGGGCTCCTTGCTTCCTGCAGGGGCACAGCTGAGTCCCACTCAGGCATGGACAGGCTCTGGACCCCCACGTCCCTGGACCTGGCCTGTCAACCCAGGTTCAGAATAGCCACGGCTGGCCCTAGGGTGCCAGGGAAGTCCCACATGTAGCGACATTAGTGTCGGTCATGGCAGAATTAATGTTAGTTCCAGGCAACTGAGATCCTCCTTTATTTATTTATTTATTTATTTATTTATTTTTTAATAAAAGGCTACTCTAGGTGGCTCTCAGGAAGTACTAGTTTATTTTCGCTTCTGGTTTTTGGGCCACATCCAGCGATGCTCAGGGGTTGCTCCTGGCTCCGCACTTAGGAATCACTCCTGGCGGTGCTCGGGGCGGGTGGTGGACACCACATGTGGTGCCGGGGATTGAACCCCGGGCCATCCCGGTGCGAGGCACATGCCTTCCCGCCATGCTGTCTGTCACCCGGGCCCTGGCAAGGCTCAGTGAGGTCGTGCACTCTCCGAGCAGTTTGGTAAGAGCAGCGGAGTCGGCGCAGGATTCCAGGTCAGCCTGTTCTGTGTCTCGTCGTATTATTAGTAGGAGTCTCGGAGAAAGTGGCCCCGTTCTGCAGAGGGAACTGTAGCCGGGCCTGTTTCTGCGACTGACCGTGTCCCCGTGGCAGCGCGTGGCCTCCTCGGGGCCCCTAACCTGGTGCTTTCCCCAGTGTTGCTGCCTGGGAGCCGGCGGGAGCCCAGATGTGGCCTGCGGCCCGCTTGGTTTCCTGTGGGTCCGCCTTGGGCGCTCAGGCCTGTGAAGGGGAAGGCGGCGTTGGAAGGGCCTGGCCCACTCACCCTCTCACCGGCGCTCGGGACAGGGCCTCCCTGGGTGCTGTGGCACCCCAGAAGCTCCGCAATGCCCCCCCCCCCCCCCCGCCGCCCCTACCAGCTTCTCGGAAATGGAGCCGGGTGGGTGCCTGGGGAGGGTCTCGGCCGCTACTCTGAGGTTGCTGCCACTGGCCACCTTCTTCACGCCTACCCAACACTGTACGGGGTGCAGGGGATGGGAGGGGCCTGTGAGCCAGAAAGTGGGGGGCCCGCACCCCAGCACGGCTGCCCCTCAGCTGTGACACAAGCCGACTTGGGCACACACGGGTGCAGAGCGATGGGGAAACTCAGGGCTTGCTTCTTCATGCAAGTCCAGGCCCCAGAAAGGCCTTTTCCCCTTGAATAGTGACTTCAAGGATTCTTAGGGTTCGTGTACATAGAGATGGGTGAGATTGATTGAGGCCAGTTCTGTCGATATCTGCGGTAATTTCCAGTGCGAAATACTTGGGTTTACATTATTACGTGTTTGTTCCACTGGGAAAAACGCTCTCCTGGTGTAAGCATCGCTTCCTTTAAAGAGCTCATGTGGCCACTTTTATTTTATTTATTTATTTTTGCTTTTTGGGTCATGCCTGGTGATGCTCAGGGGTTACTCCTGACTCTGCACTCAGGAATTACTCCTGGCGGTGCTCGGGGGACCCTGCGGGATGCTGGGAATCGAACCCGGGTCGGCCTTGTGCAAGGCAAATGCCCTCCCCGCTGTGCTGTTGCTCCAGCCCCCAGTTTTATTTTTCGATCCTCTATGGGGTGAGACTCGCCGACCGTCAGTGTACTTGCTGGCGCAGAGCTGATGGGACCGTGGTGGAATCTTTCCCACCTTGGCTGAAACTACAACCAGCACTCACTGTCCCTGTGCCTGAGCCTGGCGTTGCCAGGGAACAAGCAGGCGCTGTACGTTGGACTCAAGCAAACTCATGCTACCCAGAGGTGGACACTGGGGGACAAACACACGTCACTTCAGCACCTGCAGACACTGCACAGCGTCGGCCCCAGTGTCCGGACCCTGTTCACCAGGCAGTGTGGGGAGGGCTGCTGGCCTCGTGCGTCTTTGCCTTTCTTACCGGAGACTTTTTTTCATGTCAGGGTGCGTTGCTTTCCCTGGACTAGATTTATATGTAGTCATCAGCCTGGTTCACTTGATAAAAGAGAGTGAGTGTGTGTGTGTGTGTGTGTGTGTGTGTGTGTGTGTGTTTGGCAGTACCCCAGGACTGGGCAATATTTGGCCATCCGGGCTGACTCAGTGTAGCCAGGAGGAGGAGGAAGAGCTGGCTCCAGGCCCTGGCGTGCCAGCCGCCACCCAGGGGTGCTGGGGGAGGGGGCGTGGTCAGGGGGTGAGGTGCCAGTGTTCAGACTCAGTCCCAGAGCACGCAGAGCCCCTTTCCTTGACCCCCTCGCTGTGTCCCCAGCGCACCCTCCCCCCCCCACACACACGCTTTGGAAAGGCAAAGACCAAGTTTCCACCCAAAGTTCCACGTGGCCGGGATGGATGCATGGCGGGAAGGCGGGAGGAGGTCGGTGGCCCGGGGACAAGTGTCGCAAGGGGCCTTGGCAGGGGAGTGCTGGGTGTGCCCGGTCCTGAGGCCACACGTGTCTTGGCAGGGGGCGCTGGGTTTCCCTGACTCTGAGACCGTGCGTGGCTTGGTGGGGGGCAGGGATGCTGGTTGTGCCCGGTCCTGAGGTCCCGCGTGTTCTGACCTGTTGGCTTTGTCCACCCCCCACAGATGCCGCCGCAGTACGGACAGCAGGGCGTGGGCGGGTACTGCCAGCAGGGCCAGCAGCCCTACTACAACCAGCAGCCGCAGCACCTCCCGCCGCAGGCGCAGTACCTGCCGTCGCAGCCCCAGCAGCGCTACCAGCAGGTGAGTGCGCCCCCCCACCCCCCAGCCGCCCCGGGTACCCACTGCTTTCACCGCTTCCCCATCACCCGCCAGCCGTGGCCGAAGACACCACTCGCTGCCCAGCCTGGCACGTGTCCCGTTCGGAGGCTTTTCCACCAAAGTGCTCCTTCCCCCTGCGCGAGGCTTGGTTGAGAAGGCGATGTCGCCCGCCTCGGCATCTCGCTAGTTGGCAGGGTGGTGTTACTGTAGATTGGGGGGGATGGGGAGGCTTGTGTTTTCTTTTAATGGTAAGCGCGGCTTTCTCCAAACACAGTTGCCTTGGGCAGTGTTGTTCTTCTTCAACTAGGTTGGAAACAGATAATCACCTCGATGACTATATATTAAAATACTAAAGGGAATTATGTACTTTTAAGTATATTAAAGCAGTTTGGGGTTAAATTAGCCTCATTAAATACTCCTCTAGGTTATTGGGTCTATATTTCAGCCGCCATGATTTGTTGGAGAGGTTGTGCGCGCGTGCTTGGTTCGCCGATGCATCTTTTGGGGATTATGAGCGCGGGGTCCCGCTAGGCCGGGGGGCCACTCTGAGCCCCGCGGCTGTTCACAGAGCTTCTGCCCTTCCATCCGACTCATCATCTGCCCTCTGCTCTTTCCTCTCTCTCTCTCTCTCTGTGTGTGCCAAGGACACGGGTGCCATTGGTCTGGGCTTTCATCTTGGTTATTCCAGTAACGGGGGCTGCCGCTGGTGGACCCTCACCGTGAGGGTCCCCCTGAGCAGTGCTCGGGGCAGGCTGGTGTGGGGCAGGATCAGGCTGAGCGTGTGCGGACCACCTGTGCCCCCCCGGACTAGAACTGCACTTGGGGCTGCTGCGTCCACATTTGAAAAGATTGTTGCTTTGAGCAATGTCTCTCTCTGTCTCTCTGTCTCTGTCTCTGTCTTTCTCTGTATGTGTGTGTATATATGTATAATGTGTCTATATTTTAGTAAAGCTTAATCTTAATCATTCTGAGAAGTTCATAAGTACTTTCTTGGGAGGGTGAATTCATCTCACCTGTGATGTTTGAGTCGTGTGTGTGTGTGTGTGTGTGTGTGTGTGTGTGTGTGTGTGTGTGTGTGTGTGTGTCACACCCGGTGATGCCCAGAACTTACTCCTGGCTCTGCGCTCAGTAATCACTCTGGGCAGTGCTTGGGGGACTATATGGGATGCCGGGGATCCAACCTGGGTTGGCCACATGCAAGGCAGACAGACACCCCACCCTCTGTGCTGTCGCTCTGGCCCCGTGATCCCGGGTGTTTGAGTCTTTTTTTTTTTTTGCGTTGGGGGAGTCACACCTGGCATTGCACAGGGGTTACTCCTGCTTCTGCACTCAGGAATTACTCCTGTTACTCCTGGTGGTGCTCGGGGGACCATGTGGGATGCTGGGAATCGAACCCAGGTCGGCCCCATGCAAAGCAAATGCCCTACCCGCGCTGTGCTATGACTCCAGCCCAAATGTTTTAGTCTTAGCTTATGACTTTAAATAAAACATATTAAATAGCACCTAAGATTGAAAAGCACATAGAAAGTTTTTTAAAATCATATTTGCTTTCAAACTTTGGTATTCTATAAAGGAGCCTGCAGAGTTATGATGTATGTTATTCCAGAGGAATTTGGCCTTTTATTTAAATGAGGGGAAATTTGTTTTTTTAAACCTTTTAATATAATTTCGTTTGGAGCGAGAGATAACGTATAGGTTCGGGCATGTAGGCTTACGGGCTTTCTCAGGAGCCTCCGGAGCCGTGCGGACATTCTCTGCTGACAGAGAATGTTTTGTCATGTCATCAAAATTTAAGAAGGACTCAATCGAGAGATTGCATTACTCATTTCACTCGAGCGTGTGAAAATGAATCCCTGATTGTAAAACCAATTTGATTAAGGATTCTGAGTGCCTGTCATTTCCTTCAAGGCACCAGGCTCAAAACTTACTTCCTTTATGAAGCATCCACTGATGAGTTCTACCACAGGGCAATTAGTTATTTAATATCCTTCTCGGGAAAATATTTAAAGCCAACTGCAGGCGCAATCTTATTTGATTGACGCTACTGTTATGTTATTGATTTGCATACAGTTATTCAACAGGAAATACACATATAGAAGCAGCTAGGAGTTTTTCAAACCTAATTAGTCATTTTTATGTATTCAGAAGCTGGACAAGAATTCCTCAAAGTCTCTTGGTTTTTTTTTTTTTTTAACTACTCCACCCTAGCTGTCGAGGGTCTCCGTGTTAAATCTCTCTGTGTGGACCGAGAGGCAGAGAAGCTGCTCTAATCGAGGGCCACAACCAGCTCCTCACCGGGCCATGGGGAGAGCAGTCCCGTCTGCCCTGCTAGTGCCTCTTGGATAAGAAAAGCGTTTGGCGTCTGAACACAAACGTAGTGTTACCTCAGGGCAAGGGGTGCGCTCACCCAGTGGGCAAACAAGCTCCTTTATTTCTTTACTGCTAGGAGATTTTTTTTTTCCTTCGAACGGATGAGTTTTGTTTTATGTGTATTTTTCTATCTTTTGAGATAAACACTCTTCTACTCTTTTTTTTGTTCGGGGGGGGAGGACTATAAGTTACATATTGTTTTCATTTTTTAAAAACAAACCAAACATGTGCTCCAGAACAACTTTGCCTTGTGGCATATCACCTTTTTTATACATTGCCTGATTCATTTATTGAGATTTCTTAAAAATACGTGCATGAATGTGTTTGAGTGGTGAGGCCGCAGTGCTTGTATGCGGTGTGCTTCTGTGAGAGGCATCAGACACGCACACACACACACACACACACACTCCCTGTGCTCCTCGGAACATCTTTCCGCTGCATCTCCAGCAAAATTGAAGCGAGGCGCATGCATGGACTGGGGGTCATGCATGAATTGGGGGCTTGGGGAGCCCGGTGCTCCTCCCGGCCATTCTCAGCCATCCCAGCCTCGGGTTCTGTGCAAGGGCTGAGCTGTGGTGTTGGCGAATACCAGGGTCCGCTGATGCCAGGTCTGCATCCTAAATGTCACGCTCTCTCTTTGGGCTCTGGAATGGGGGTGTGTGTTTGGCCTCCTCCCCGCCACTGGCATCCCCCCCACCCCGCGGGGCTGTGACCCAGCCTCTCTGACCCCCACATGGTCCCCGTACTCTGTGTCTGCTCCCTCTCCCGCCCGTGTGTGTGGCTTTCTCGGGAAGTCTGTTGGGCGTCACACCTGCTTCCACCTGGGCAGGGGCTGTGGCACCCACCCTTCCTCCTCACAATGCCCCTGAGGCTGGGCTCCTCCTACCACTCTGTGGGTACCCGGTGCCTGTGTCCGTCAGGGCAGCTGAGTCTTGTCCCCTTTTCTTCTGCATGGGATGGAGGAACGTCCCTGTTTGCTACATGCCAACCCCCAAGGGTTGTCCAGGGCTCGAGGCACGTGTGGTCACCCTCAGCCAGCAGCACCATGTGCTGCTGAGTCGTCCCTGCAGGCCAGATCCAGGCGCCTGGGTTCTGACTGCACCGCCGTCCCCATGGCAGAGAAGCCTGGTCCCCTCTCAGCCCTCCCGGGCCAGGGCCAGCTGCTCCAGCCCTGCCCAGCGCTCCAGGGGTGGTGCGGGCGGCTGCCTGTGTGCCCCCTCCAGTCCGGTCAGCTCTGCAGGGGGAGAGCGGCGACCCCTGGTTCTGTATGGGGCCACTCCTGGGGTTCTCTGGAGACTGTGATGCGGGGCTCAGACTGGGGACAGCCACAGGCCAGGCCACATGCTTTTTATTTCTTTTGTTTTTTTGTTTTTTATTTTATAAGATAATTCACAATATTTGATTACATTTAATATTCAAACGCCAAACCCACCACCACGACACCTTCCCACCACCATATTGGGGTGTTTCCATCCCAAGCCCCAATCCCTGTCCCAAAGCACAACCGAAAGAATATCTTTTGTATTGTTTGTTATGAAAAACCGCTGAAAAATGCTACAAAAAAGTATCCATAGAGAAAACAGTGTGGAGATTATTCTGTTTTAGCAAGGGCCTTTAAGATCTTTTTTAGGGTATCACCAATGTGTTGTTAAAGGTTGAGTGATGTGAACTTATATATATATATATATATATATATATAGAGAGAGAGAGAGAGAGAGAGAGAGAGAGAGAGAGAGAGAGATAGCACAGTGGTAGGGCGTTTGCCTTGCGCACAGCCGGCCTGGCCGAGCCAGGTTTCGTTCCTCTGTCCCTCTGGGAGAGCCCAGCAAGCTACCGAGAGTATCTCGCCGGCACGGCAGAGCCTGGCAAGCTCCCCGTGACATATTCCATATGCCAAACACAGTAACAACAAGTCTCACAATGGAAACGTTACTGGGCCTGCTCGAGCAAATTGGTGAACAACAGGAGGACAGTGCTACAGTGATATATATATGCATACATATTTCCCTCTATGATCGGTTGCCTACTATTTGAACAGCATCAAATGTTGTGTGGTACTCTTGGAGAGTAGGTAGGGAGCGTCTTACGATTCGATGCCATGCAACCCAGGAATAGGTTTACTTGTGAGTGAGACTCGGCCCAAGTGAGTGAGGAGCGAGTGGCCTTGAGCATCAAAGCTTTTGTGTGCACAGGCCTGTCATCCTCTCCCCCCATCCATGTCTCATCTTAGTATCAGGAGAAAAATTGGATATTGTAACACGCTTCTCAAGGTGTAGCTATCTTTCATATTTAAAACACACACACACACACACACACACACACACACACACACACACTAGTAGCAGTGACAAAAAATCCCTCATGTGCTTGCTGGGGAAATTTCCAAGCAGCTGGTTAGGAAAAGCAAAACCATCCTTTATGGAACAGCTCTGTCCAGAATGTTCTCCATGCTGGTGCTTCAGTGAGGCCCAGGGTTCGTCTGGCCTGCAGGGCCGCCCGGGACAGAGCTCTCGGACCCTCCTGTGGGGACCCCGAAGAGTGAGTGCCCGTGTGCTGGGGCGGTTCTGCTCTGAGTGCTGACGCTTGGCTCCCAGGGACATAGTTTCCACGGC